AATTCGCATTTAAACACGGAAATGTGCATTGCTCGACCGTTATCGAAAAAAAAAAGAACGCTCGATAACAATTTTGTTTCTCCTAGTTAACATCTCTCTCTCTCTCTCTCTCTCCCTCTCTCTCTCTCATTAGTGCGTAGTACGGAAGATTAGCAAGGTACAGGTAACAACTGAGATACGGTCGCAGAACAATTTCATTTTTACAGATTCGTCAATGCACACACGTAACTACGCGCGATTAAAATTATTATCTCTCGAGCGGCACTTCGCGTTCGCTTCTCTCTCTTTTCTTTTCTTCCACCCTTTGTTCTTCGTCGTGTTTCTTCTGTTTTACTTCCGAGCGGGAATTAAATATATATCTATATCGTTTGAGTTACGCATTCGAGGTAAAAGCTCTTCAACTTATCTGCAAAATTTAAGCTGCAACCCATTCACGTTTACAAAGAAGAATGCAATATATAGGAACTACCATGAAACGGATCTTCTTATTACGTTTTTTTTCTCTCTCTCTCTTTTATTCTTTGTTCTGTTGCTGCAGTGTCTCTCTTTCCCACGAACGATTTTTTCAACGACAAATCGAAAGCGGCGAACGTGGCAAGCAATCGTTGAAATCAAAAGTGCGAACGCTTCCAATCGAGAGGTGTTGGTTTTCACCCTCCGCCGACCCTCCAAATAGTCGGACGAAAAACGAGCAATAAAGAAACAACAAAAAGGAAACGAAAGAAACTAATGAAGAAGAAGAAGAAGAAAACGGGGACCCGTGTCTGTGGTGTGTAACTATTCTCGTCACGATGCACCGGCTAACTAGCTCTCTCTCTCTCTCTCTTTCTCTCAGTAAAATGCACAATACGAACACGCACCCGTTATCGAACTATAACATAATAGTACCGACCCGTACGGCACTACTCGCGTAAAACATATTGTTATAATTAATAATATACAAATAGTCTATTCTGTAGTCTACAGTATACGAACGTATCTGCGGCTGCTAAACTTGTGTATAAGTTGGCGAGATTCAGTCTTCACATATAAAGGAGGATAGTACACTTTTAACATTACAATATGCACATTTACGTTTATAATAATAAAAATGTTTATGTACGCGATATCACAGCGTTCAGCATTATTAAAAAGGTACTCGTGTTCCCGAAAACTATTTAGTTCCGTCGGTTACCCTTTAGCTCAATGACGAAGACAAATTGTACGTCCGGGGGGGGGGGGGGGCTACCTAAGGCGCGGTAGAAAAAACTGTGCCAATTCATGGGACCTTTATCTTTCGTGTTCGTTCTCTCTTTGTTATTTTTTCTTTTTTTTTCGTCGGATATATGCTTCCCGTTTTTTTCTTTTTAATTCTCGACATCTTCTCTTTCTCTTTTTTTATCCTTCGTCGAGGAAAACAACGGTTGTACACAGGACGCGAGTTAAATACAAAGACGACTCCGTTTCGAACCGAACAACCCTAGCGTACATGACGATTTTCTTTTTCTTTTTCGTTTTGGACAGTGCTTGATACAAGCGTGAAAAATCTCCACGAGAAAAATGATGGTTCCGTTTATTATTGTTTTTTCGTTCGAACCGTTCTGTTTGTTCGTTTTTTTTCTCTTTTTTTTCTTTCGTTCACGGATAGAAGGCGCGCTCAGAGATGTCCCTTCGAGAAACTACTAAAAGCACACACGGTCTTTATCCTCTTTGTTCTCTCGGTTCCAACCTTTTTTCTGTTTTTTCTCTTTTTCACTGTTCTACAGCCACCGCTGGAAACCAACGAGGAAAACCATACGCGGGAAATGAAGTATGCACAGGTGCGTGAAAATGAGGAGGAATGAAGAAGCGCCCGTCTAATCGAGCGTGATTGCGAGCAAACTAAACAAAACAAGAAAAGAACACAGACAAAAAGAAAACACAAAGAACTCGCGTGTTTCACGAATCAAGAATCGAGTTCGTCTTCGTCTCGTTATATGCGTTCGAAGAGCCACGTCCCCTCTGTTTGTTCACACGATTGTCCTACCGTACTACACGAATAACACACGCGTCTCTCGACCATACTCTCCGGCATCTTCGATTTCGCGACGATAAATTGGGGCAAGAGATCCGTTTTTCTATCTTTTCCTTTCTTTTTTGTCTTCCGGCGGGACCGTTCGAGGCGATTCAAACCGAATGGACATTCCACGAGGACGCAACGAAATGTGTATTGGGGAGGGTTTTAATTAATAATACAAACTAAAATTGTCGACTAGTAGGACAGAAGGGTGGCACGCGAAGCGATTACGACTGAGCTATCGCATGCTTCGTCGCGCGGAGAACGTTCGATGTCGAACGACCACCGACACCCTCGCGTACCCCGTTTCTATTATACCCTTTAGTACGGTTTCAGAATGTGGACGTAAAAGGACGATTCTTCTAGACGATTCTTGTCGCGGTTGAAACGGAAAAAAAACGAGAAGATCCAACGGAAATACTTACGCGCGGCGCTAAACATTTCGCGATAATTCGAAAAGAAACGAAACGCCGATTCTCGGCGATAAATACGTAAATAGAAAAACAATAAAACGATATGCTGGATCGCGTCTCCAACGAACGGATGTGGGGGACAGGACAAAAACGTACGAAAGAAAGTTTGGATACGGCAAAAAGAAAACCGGTAGAAGAGAAAACAGTGTAATCTCGTCCTGTTTCCGAATCGATGTTCTCGCGCATGGTGGAGAGCGAACACGCCACGTACGTAAACTATATAAACAATAAGCTATAAGATCTGTCGCGCGAATACACGGACAAGGAAGAGTGCTCACGACAGAACATAATACACACAACACGTCTCCGTAAATCCTTCGGATTTCCTTTGTCCCTTGAAATCACCGGGGGAGCGATGATACACGAAAATCGCGCAGCGAACGCATACAAATAAAGGAATACTGGTCTTCTGCTTTCGACAACTTCGAAGTTTCGTTTTACTTTTCTTCCTCCTCTATTATTTTTCCTTTTTTCTTTTTTTTTTTTTGACGCCACACTCTCCCTCCCTAAAGTAGACAATGAGCTCTCGCAGTACACCACGTCATTTAGGATCACATGATTTGTATACCATGTATAAAACTGATAAGATACGTTTCCTTATTTTAATCATGATGCACAATAGGTAGATCTATAAATATGCTACACCTTACATATCACAGAGCTACGCGTACACCCACTATCAATTTTCTCTTGTTCTTTTTTCGAAAATGCGCAATGTTTGTTTTTTTTTGGGGGGGGGGGGGAAACATTCGCCCTTACCAGGAACTGAAATAATGTGCAATGCTGTGTTATCTGTTTTCTATATCGAAATCGATAAACGGAACGGAACGCGAAGTGAAAAACGTTTGCGGGCCCTGTGTTACCCGGAACAGAGGGCGATATAATTCTAAATGGTCTCTGGAAAAGCCACCTGAATATGTAACTTCAGCTTATTGTCAGCGTTTACCTCTGTC